AAGTTCCTTTAGCATTTGTTGTAAAGCTGGTTTGGTGGTGCTGTATTCTCTTAGCTTTTGCTTCTCTATAAAGGTTTTAATTTTTCTGTCGAAACTGAATGAGATTCTTGCTGGGTACAGTAATCTTGGTTGTAGATTTTTCCCTTTCATCACTTTAAATATGTCCTGCCACTCCCTTCTGGCTTGCAGAGTTTATGCTGAAAGATCAGCTGTTATCCTTATGGGGATTCCCTTCTATGCTATTTGTTGCTTTTCCCTTGCTGCTTTTAATATTTTTTCTTTGTACCTAATTTTTGATAGTTTGATTAATATGTGTCTTGGTATGTTTCTCTGGTTTTATCCTGTATGGGACTCTCTGAGCTTCCTGGACTTGACTATTTCCTTTTCCATGTTAGGGAAGTTTTCAACTATAGTCTCTTCAAATATTTTCTCAGACCCTTTCTTTTTGTCTTCTTCTGGGACCCCTACAATTCAAATGTTGGTGTGTTTAATGTTGTCCCAGCGGTCTCTGAGACTGTCCTCAATTCTTTTCACTCTTTTTTCTTTATTTTGCTCCCTGGCAGTTATTTCCACCATTTTATCTTCCAGCTCACTTATCCGTTCTTCTGCCTCAGTTATTCTGCTATTGATTCCTTCTAGAGTATTTTTAATTTCAGTAATTGTGTTGTTCATCACTGTTTGTTTGCTCTTTAGTTCTTCTAGACCCTTGTTAAATGTTTCTTGTATTTTCACCATTCTGTTTCCGAGATTTTGGATCATCTTTACTATCATTACTCTGAATTCTTTTTCAGGTAGATTGCCTATTTTGTCTTCACTTATTTGGTGTTGTAGGTTTTTACCATGCTCCTTCATCTGTAACATATTTGTCATTTGTTTTTTTTTTGATGGGTGGGGCTGTATTCCTGTCTTACTGGTTGTTTGGCCTGATGCATCCAACACTGGAGTTTGCAGGCAGTTGGATAAAGCCCGGTCTTGGTGCTGAGATTAAGACCTCCGGGAGGCCTCACTCCGATTAATAAACCCTGGGGTTTGAGGTTCTCTGTTAGTCCAGTGGTTTGGACTCAGAGCTTGCACCACAGGAGCTTGGGCCCAACCTCTGGAATAGGAACCAAGATCCTGCAAGCTGCAGGGTGTGGCAAAAAAAAAAAAAAGGAAAGAAATAGAAAAAAAGGAAAGAAAAAAAAAGATTAAAAAGCAGTATAATATCAAAGAATAAAAAACAAAATAAATTTAGAAAGATAAAAAATATATTAGGAAAAATAAAAATATAATTGAAACAACTGCCAGAAGGTAAAATAAAAGCATAACAGAAAAAAGAAAGGGGTGGTGGGGGGGGCAGGGGAACAAGCCAAAAGAAGAGAACAATAACAAGTATAAAGAATAAAATAAAATTAGAAAAATAAAAGATTAGGAAAAATAAAATATAAATGAATGAACAACAATGAATCAACAAGGTAGAATAGAAGTACAATCTAAAAGAGGAAAAAAGAAGAGAGGAAAAAAATGAAGAAAAAAATAGCCTTGGCTATGGGTTCGGAGTTTAGGCAGGGGTGGAACTTAGGCAGGCGTGGGGTTAGGGTGGGGCAGGCCCTAGGTGGGTGGGGGGGTGACATTTGAGCATGGGGCTGGGCCTAGGCTCAGGACCCACACAGCTGGAAAAGGCCTTGGGGGCGGGGCTTAGGCAGGGTGATGTTCAAGCATGGGGCGGGGCCTCTGCTTAGGACCCAGTCTGTGGGGGTTCCTCCCATCCTCATAGATGTCCGTGGTCCACCACCGGTGCTTGGTAGGTGCCCTAGTTGTGTAGAGACACGAATTCTGCGTCCTCCTAGTCCACCATCTTGATTCCGACCTCTGCCGAGTACCTTCTTGCTTCAGTTTCTGATATATCCGTTGCTCCGGGCCATCAGGCAGGCTGGCTCCTTACTGGCACGCACACTCGCACTGGTGGTCATGAAGACCAGAATTCTGCACCTGGAGAAACTTTTCAGCCGGCCAGGCAGCCACAGGGAGGTGGACTGGGGCAGTACTATGTTTTATGTTAAGTTCTCAGCTTGCGAAATTTTAGAATACAACAGATTATAAAGTTTACTCCAAACTTATGTGAGGGCAGGCCTATTGTTATGAACTCTCAGAGAAGATCTTTTTTTTTATTCAGCGCTCAAAAGAATACAGACAAGCTTCTTGTTCTGATGGGCAAAGATTGTTCTCCTACACCCTTTCATTAAGGGTGTAGCTTTCTGAGGTTCCAGAGAGCTACAAAAGGTGGTATGTCTCAATTACACTTTTCTATCACATATAGACAAATTTTTATCATTTTTCTGTGACCATTAATTCACAGGAAATGTGGTTACTGATACAGGCAAACCCTGTCCCTGAAAATGACCACAGCCAACAGTTAACTGGTCTTCCGCTAGCTACTTATTCATTTTTGGTCTCTGAGCACCTCCCTTACATATTCTGACCTCATGTAATCATTGAAAAGGAAGTCTATTAAGCAATTCTACTGTAGACAGTCTATGAAGCATCTTTGTAGCAGGATGGATTTCAAGCTATCCAGTCAAGAATGGAAGTCTACACTGATTTTTAAGTGGGTGCGATACTGTGATTATAGTAAGAAATATATATATTGGTTTTCATCCAAGGTTTCTGCCACATAGCTCCTACCACACTTGTAATTTCCTATATAAGAATTATAGGTGCATCTTTTGTTATAATATTTAGTTTTGTCCTATTTCCTGAAATAGCTCTGAAGTGATAAAAATGAAGTGAATGTCCTGCTATTCATAACAAGCCCTTTCAGCCACACCTGAGTTTATGTTAATGAGGAGACTTTTGGAAAGCCCCTAAGGATGGGGGCTGGTTGTTAGAGGAACCAACCTTAGGATGTGAGGTTCAGAACTTTCAGCCCTATCTCCCAGACCTCTGGGGCTGGAGACTGACTTAATCACCAACAGCCAATGTGTTACTCATTCATGCTTACATAATGGAGCCTCCACAAAAATCCCTGAACCAGGAGCTTAAGAGAGCTTCCAAGTTTGTGAACATGGCATACCTGGAGAAGGCATGGGAGCTCGGCAACCCTTTCCCCATACCTTGACATATGCATCTGTTCTATCTGGCAGTTCCTGAGTTATAGCCTTTTACAAAAAACTGGTGATCTAGTAAGTAAACTCTTTTCCTGAGTCTGTGTGCTGCTCTGGCAAATTAACTGAACCTGAGGAAGGGGATGTGGAAACCTCTGATTTATAGCCAGTCCTCAGAAGCACAGGTAACAACCTGGACTTGAAATTGGAGTCAGAAAGGGGTTGGAGGGTGTAGGTTCTTGTGGGACTGAGCCCTTAACCTGTGGAATCTAACACTATTTCTCCAGGCAGACAGTACCAGAACTGGATTAAACTGTAGGACACCAAGCTAGGTGTCCAGAGAGTTGGAGAACTGTTTGGTGCTGGGGGGAAAACCCATATGCATATAGTCACACAAGTGCCAGAAGTATTGAGATCTTAAAGAAACACAGGAGTGCTTTTCCCTAGACGATGGATAACATCATAATTGAATCACAGTGAAAATCAGGGTCAATCTAGTCACTTTTAGAACTTTCAAGGTGTTGAGAAATTTTGTTTTTATTTGTTACCCGACTTACACTGAATTGTTGGTCCACATTATTTACTTCCTTGTTCCTGGGTTATACATTACTCTCTGCCCATGGCCTTAGGAAGAGTATAGTGTGCTTTCCTGCTCCTTCACTTTGGGTTTGTCCATGTGACCTGCTTTGGCCAACAGACTATTAATGGAAGCAACACAAACAGAGGCTTAAAATGTGTTTGAATGGTTGCACTCGCTCCTTTGCATTTCTGCTATTGCTATGAGACCATGTCTCAGGTAGCTTCCTGGTTCCAGAAGAGAGGTACACGGACCAGAATCCAGACTGTGGAGTTCAAGTTTAGCCTAGAACAGCAGAACTCAAACTGACATGCAGATGCATGAGAAAGAAATACATGTTGCTATAAACCACTAAATTTGGGTAGTTTTTCATGTACATTACTGTGAAAATAGCTGACCAATATATTTACTTTGTGAGTAGTTCTTAGGCCCTTTCCCTAAAATGAAGCACTTGAAATGTATTAGTCTAAGTTTTTTTACCTGAAATTTTTTGATCTGCTCAACAGACTAGGTTAAATTAGTTATACTATAATACATAATGATTTGCCTTGGAGTCTGTCAATAACATCTAAGATAAAATGGAGTACCAACCTGGTATTTATGTAAGAAGGAAAGATCAGTAGTTTCATTTAAAGGAACAGAAGACGATGTGACATGAACATATGGATTTAATTCTGCAATATGTTGAAGTACAGCTTCAGCCCTAAAAAAAGAAAAGAAAAAGAAAGAAAAAAGACTTTTACTACTCTTTTGTTCAATAAATATACTCAATCTTTCAAACTTGGACACTTTGATGACAGAAGAACCTGAATGTTACAAAATTTCATGGGAATTTAAACTGCAGAGGAATAAAAGAAGTTAAAACTTATTTTTACTATACAATCTTGAGATGTAGCACACTGTCATATTCCATAGTAAGTCACATAATCTCAAAGTGTACCCTTATAGGTCAATGCTCCTTAAGGCTCTTAATGATTCAGCAATAATAAAGACCTACTTAAATAATCTTAAAGAAATGCATTTCTAGGTAGCAATGTGAATGTATTACATTTCTGACAAATTTAAATAATTAAATGTCAACACTTACTTATCTACAGTAGAGTGAATTTATGGCGATGAGTTAAACAACTATGATTGAACTGGTGTTCTGGATACAGAAAATATTCTAAGTAACTACAACAGTTAAAAAAAAAAAATCCTATGATAATACATCAAAATATCTTATTTTCACCTGTTTCTCATACTAACAACATCATCTTCACAGAGAAAGAAGTTGGTCCCTAGATCCCATGCTTGGCATTCTTCTGTATCATGAATTGTAAGTGCCTTCAAAAAAGAGAAAAATATCTGTTAAAGTCAGGAGTAAGACAAGGATGCTCATTATTTCCAATACTATTTACACTGACTTGGAAGAATTATCTAATTAGACAATAGAAAGTAAAGTCTTAGTAATTGGAAAGGTTATAGAGTTAGATCCATTCACAGATGATATGACTATATTTTCTGATATGACAGAAAAGTTCATGGAAAAACTACTTTATTATTTTTTTTATAATGCAAAATAATTTTTTAATGCTAGTATATGATTTTTTTGGCAGAGATTACTGTTACATTAACTTGAATATAGCTTCATTATTCAACTGTCAACTGTGAAGTGAGATAAGACAAATGTTAAAAGCAGGGTTTTGATTACTTAACACAGTAAAATTGTAATTCCAAGTTACAGAGACGTTCACGTAACGATAGTTTTAAGCTACTGGCTAATAGCTGTATACTGATGACAATAAGAATAATACTTTCCACTTATGACATTTATCAATAACAATTCTCAATTAATTAAGTTAAAAATAATTAACATGATGGTAATATTGTAATTCCAAATAAATATACTATATGCTTGCTGTAGGTGTGTGTATATGTACTTTATTTTTCAGATAGTACTGAACCCTAGTTGACTTTAAAAAATGAATAAATTAGGCATATTACCATGCACTTACATCACCAGGGTGCCTTTATGCTATGTGAAAAACTACTTTAAAAAACAGTAAGAGAATTTAAGTTTAGAAAAGTAGCACGTTATACAGATCAACATATATACAAAGATTTTAAAAATTCACATAAACTAACATTTCCAAATGGTCATGTTCTAAGTAAGAAAGAAAACTAACTGGAAAATATATTTTTAACTTATATTTCAAGCCACAAATCTTATAATAAAAAGGGGCAAGGTATATGAACACAGAGTATACTGAAAAAGAAATACATAGGGCCCTTTAAAATATTTAAGCATGTTCAACCTTGCTCAAGAATGAAACACCTTTTCTCATTCATCAGAATGGCATAAATCCAAATTGGTGAGAGTGAAGTAAATCAGGCATTCTCATACATTACTGGTGGGAATATGAAGTAGCACAAAACCTCAAAGGAAAAAAAATTGGCATTCTTTTGCAAAATGAAAAGTACATTTCTCCTTTGACACAGCAATCCCACTTTTAAGAATCTATCACGAAGACACACTGGAAATAATACAAAAATACATATGTACAAGACTCTTAGCTGCAGCACTATGTGTAATAGCAACAGACTGGAAATAATCAAAATGTCCACCAATGAGGAACTGGGTATAATTACGTATGATACATCAACACAACATATATCCATGCAGCTATGAAAAAAATAAGTGAAAAAATATATTTATCACTATGGAGTAATATCAGGATATGCTGGTATGTGATAAAAAGCAAGGTAGAAGTATGGCACTTTACCTAAGAAAGGCGGGTGGAGATAAATATGTACACACACACGTACAAATTTGCATGTCTATATGTATGTATTTGTTTATATTTAAAAAACAGATTAAAAAAAGAAGGCAATCTAATAAGGGAAGGAGGAAATAGAGTAGAGAGATGCTAGACTTACCTGAATATACTTTGCTTTATAAATTTGACTTTGAATTATATGTCTCATATAATAATAAAACTAAATCAAATTAAAAAAGCAATCCCTAAAAATCCAAAGTAAAATGAATAAAGGGACAAAACTATCTATTTGAATTTGTTGCATAATTACACAAAGGAATTATTTAAAGTGACTTAAGATAAAGCAGTTAATTTTGTCTGCCAAATCCAGATGGGATACTAAGGATAAAAAAATTTATCTTAAATTGTTTTCAATAATCATATTGTTATTAATAATGCTGGAACTGATATTTCAAAACTATGTCATAGATATAATAGGATATAATATAGGATAAAGCAAATAAGTAATCAGGTTCATGTCATTAAGACCCAAAACCTTATAGTAAGAGAAGAGATACAAATATAAAATCTAAGAAGTAAATAAGTAAATACCCTATAATCCTAAACTTGAAACTCAGAAATTTCAGTGTTCATTCACAATGAATGTTCTAGCTCTGTCCACTGGTAAGACTTTACAGGCAGAGACAACCAAAGAATACTGGGGTAGTGTCAAAAGGACTCAAGGACTTCAAGAAGATCCCCAAAAGCAAAGAAACAACCTGAGCATCAATGACTCAAAACATATCAAATACGTTTAAATCCATCATGACGTTCACATACACACATACCACCCAAGTTGCACCTGTCACTGTTGAGGGATCAGAGAAAACCAGTGATTTTGAAAAGTAGTAAATAAAGGGGGAAAATTAAGTATTTATCTTGCCTTTTACCCATGTACTAACTATATGTAGCGAAACCAAACAAGTGATGAATGGAAACTTTTCTAAAATATTATTCCCATTAATAAATGAAATAGAAATGACAGAAATAGAATATCACAGCCCCAATAAAATAATGATCTAGGCAGTGATCATTAATAGGTAGTAATAATCACAAAAAAAGATAACAGAATATTATTTCCTCCTGATGGGAGAACACAATATCACTTGTGAAGCAGTAGTGCCAAAAGAATCAAATCTGAATCTGATTCTCTGGATATAACGACCAGTTTATAAGAAATACAGAGATGGAGGTACACGTGACAAATGACCTGATTTCTTTAAAAAGTAAATTGAAAGGAAGAAAAAGAATCAGGGAAGGGAAATCTATTGATTCGAAGAAACCAAGTCCAGTATATGGACTTTACTTGGATCCTGATTAGAACAAAACAAATTAAAGAAAAATTCTTTCTTTAGATGATTGGGAAAATATGGACTCTAACTAGATACTTGACGATTGTGGTAGGCAGGCTTCAAAGATACCCCAATGATTCCCACTTCTTGATATTCAGGGCTTTGTGCAATCCCGTCTCCTCCTAGTGACTTGCTTTTAAGGACTATACCATAGGTGATGGAATGTCACTTCTGAGATTAGGTTACAATACACGGGCCTCTCACTGTTGTGGCCTCTCCTGTTGCGGAGCACAGGCTCTGGACACGCAGGCTCAGCAGCCATGGCTCATGGGCCCAGCCGCTCCGCGGCATGTGGGATCTTCCCAGACCGGGGCACGAACCCGTGTCCCCTGAATCGGCAGGCAGACTCTCAACCACTGCGCCACCAGGGGAGCCCCTCCCTTTCTTGTCTTTTGCTTGCTTACTCCGATGGAACAAGCTGCCATATTGTGAGCTGCCCTATGAAGAGGGCCACATGGCAAGGAACTGAGGGTGACCTCCGACTAATAGCCAGCAAGGGACTGAGGTGGGAACGATGAACGACACAACCTTGCCCCTGAATCCTATCAATAACTACATGGGCAGGTTTGGGAAGCAGATCCTTTCCCTAGCCTCAAGATGACTGCAGGCCCTGCCAATATCAGTGACTGGAGCTTTGTGAAAGATCCTGAGGACTCTTCTAAGTTGCACCTGATTCCTGCCCCAAAGAAACTGAGGTAAATTCTGTTAAGTTGCTAAGTTCTGTTTAAAGATAACAATGATCTTAAAAAAACTGTTAATGTTTTTAGGTGTGGAAGTGATACTGTGGTTGTTTTCAAAAGGCACCCTTATCTTTTAGAGCTATATAGTAAAATATTTAAGAATGATATAATAGGATGTCTGAGATTGATATTAAAATAATTTGGCAGTTGGGGGCAATGGGGAATAGGAAGAAGATACATGAAACAAATTTGTCTATGAGCTAATAACTGCAGGTGCATGATGGATACATGGGGTTTTGCTAACACTATTCTCTTTTTCTGGATAACTTTGAAATTTTCTGTAATAAGTTTTTTAAAAGGAGGAAAATAGAGAATTATGACAATTTTGCTACTAAATGAAAAAGCAATAATTAGGCCAAAGTGTAACTAATATTACCACTACGGACGAGGGGGAAAAAAAAGACTTCATAACAAACAATTCTTCTTACCAAGGACATTTACTCACCTTAATCCCTGCAAGAACAAGATTCTTTGCTATAAAGGGAGAAGAAGAAAAAAAGGAATAGCTTAATATTAGGAATTGTATATTAGATATGTCTTCATGGAGTTTGGTTAAATCTCTGAATAATTTTAACTTTTTACTACCTAAGAAATATAGGTTCCTTAGAAAATATGGATGAACAAAAAGAAAAAAATAAAATTTTCCATAATCAAACCACACTGAGATAATCATTCTTAAAATTTTAGTGTATGCTTCCAGACATGCTGTTATGAATGTGTGCATGTGTGCTCTATCATAATGAATTAATGGATACATAGAAAGATCATTAATACCTATCAACATCACAAAAAGAGAAGCAGGAGAGCCATTACTGGTTCCTTGTGGAAGAATGTAACAGTATGAAATATTCTTGCCCCAGCTGCCCCCCCACCCAAAATCAAAACTGAATCCGATCAAGGTTTTGGATCTAATTTCCTTTATAGCAAATAATATAAGGGAAAGGAATTAAATTCTTTAAATTATGTTGCTCAAAAGCATCATATAAAATTATGAATAAAAATACTGCTTACCAATTTCCAAACCAAGACCACCCATACCACTTAAGAAAACATGGGACTTGGCCATCTTCTGCATTGCTGTGTCTCCAAGAACGTACCTCTGTCGACTACATGTAAAACATAATGAAAAATTATTTTACCAAAATTGTATATCCTTTTAAAATCATTTGTGAAATAACCTGGCAGCTAGATCCTGCCCACAGACTTGTTTTGGATCACTTGCATAGTGTTTAAAAGTTCTGAATTAATGTCAAATATATGACATATTTTTAAAAATTAGAAGATTTGGCACCACAGTCGACATTCCCTCATGGCTACAGAGTTGAGTAGGAGTTGCCCTGTTCAGAGAGGGAGGACTATGTGATCTAGATTTGCCACAGTTCCCATCCTTCTCCTCTCATTTACTACCTCGGTGGCCACCACAGGCATCTGAGTTTGTCACTTCCACTTAAAGCCTTTCACTGTGAAAAGGATTTCTCAGGCAAAAATTTGGTTTCCTTCCTTCTTGGAGTTTAGATGACTTAAAGTTAAGTAGTTTTCAAACATTATTTTAAATATAAAAGCTGATAAATTATATAAAGGACCTTGCTAAGTCATCCGTCCTAACAGTCACAAGGCAGTAAGTATCAGGATGAGAATTTCAAAAAATACACATCAGCAATTAAAAAAAGTCAGATATAGTAATAAAGTCAATAGTAAGAGTTTATTTGAAAGAACATTGATTAACTTGATGTTATACTAGTTTTTAAAGATAGGGGCATTCTAATGGCTTCTCACCAGAATTATTTTGAAAGATGAGTTCAGTATAAATAAATAATTCCAGAGCCCCTTGGGTTGCAAGCATTTCTTTTGGAATTGACACACACGCACATTTACAGATGCTGGTTTAATGTATGTTTGTTTAATATATAGATGTTTATTTAATTTCCATATTTCATCTATTGATATTCAATATAAAAGCCTGAAAAGGGGTCTCTTGTTTAGTAAGAAGAAACTTTGTAAACACAAGCTATCTTTACTATTTCCATCCTTATTCCCTACAATATATAATAAAAGCTAGACTTTTCATCTTTGTTTTTTAAAATTTATTTTATTGAAGTATAGTTAACTTACAATGTCGTTAGTTTCTGCTATACAGCAAAGTGATTCAGTTATACATATATATATATATATATTTTTTATATTCTTTTCTATTATGGCTTATTACAGGATATTGAATATAGTTCCCCATGCTATACAGTAGGACTTTGTTGTTTAATCATTCTATATATATATAAGTTTGTGTCTGCTAATCCGAAACTTCCAATCCATCCCTTCCCCACGGCAACCACAAGTCTGTTCTCTATTAGACTTTTCTTTTTAAATTGGTATTCACCATTTCTGCTTCAGAGATAAAATCGATTTATTTATGAAATATTTATTGAACATCTACTATGGTATGTATGGAACAGTGTATAGTCTTACAACCCTTATTTGTGTATTCCTAAACAATATATTTAAGTTTTGTCTGTTTTGGAACTTTATATAAAGTTCATTTGAATACTTTTATGAGTTATTCATATCAACGTAGCTGTTCATTAATTTTCATGTTGTATTCTATTATACTGTACTATTCTACTGTGATAATATACCATAATTTAGCTATTCTACAGTTTTGGACAGTTACCAATAATGAGACTATGAGTATTCTTATATATGTGTCATGGTACAAGTGTAGTAGTTTCTATAGCACATATATCTAGAAGAGGAAATGCAGGGTTAACTATTAGATAATGCCAAACTGTTTTCCAAAGTGGATGTACCAATTTACTCTCCTCCTGGCAGTGTATCAAAGCCCCCATAATTTCAAATCCTTAATGTGCTGGAAAAAGTTAACATAGCAGGCCTGATCTTTAGCCTGCTTATGGGGGCTAGCCCTTGGCCACTGCCTGTGAACTTGGCTTTTGAAATGTTTCCTATGCTAATAATTCTACTTTTCTTCCCTGAGTTTCCTGAAATAAAAACTCCGTAATTTTTAGGTTTTCTATTCTAAAATACACATGTAGAACTTTTTTTTTTTTTTTTTTTTTTTTTTTTGCGGTACGCGGGCCTCTCACTGCTGTGGCCTCTCCTGTTGCGGAGCACAGGCTCCGGATGCACAGGATCAGCGGCCATGGCTCACGGGCCCAACTGCTCTGCGGCATGTGGGATCTTCCTGGACCGGGGAACGAACCCGTGTCCCCTACATCGGCAGGCGGACTCTCAACCACTGCGCCACCGGGGAAGCCCCACATGTAGAACTTTAACTGATCTTAAACAGCATCCCAAATTTTGATCGATAGTACTTTAAATTACTATTCTCCAATTTTAATCATGATTCTTTTTTTGACTTTGGGTTCATCTGAAGTGTATTTTTAAATTTCTATTTTTATGAGGAATTTTACAATTATCTTTTGTGTTGACTTCTAGCTTAAATGTATTGTGAATAGACATCACAATCTATATAATTTTCACTCTTTAATATTTGAGAATTTCTTTGGTCAATTTTACAAATGTTCCATGGGTTCTTGAAAAGAATGTGTACTCTACAGTTGTTAGATACAACATTCCTTATATGTGCATTAGATTAATCTTAATAATCATGTTGATGAAATCTATACCTGTTCCGACTTTTTTGTTCGCTTGTTCTCTTGATTACTAAAAGCAACATTTAAAAAATGCCCCACTATGATTGTAAATTTGTCTATCCTCCTTATATATCAGTACCTGAACAGTGCTGACAGGTAAGAATAACAGCTAAAACTTAGTGTTTACTACACACCATGCACTGTTTTATTTGTATTAACTCATTTAATCCTCACAAAAATTCTATAAGCTCTATTGTTATTCCCATTTTTACAGAGAGAAAAACTTAATCATAGAGAAATTAAGCAATTTATAAACAGTGGAGGCAAGATTCAACCCAGGCAGTCTGGTCTTAGCATCCATATTCTTAACCACTATACTACACTGCACATAGATTAAGAAAGTTAAATCATTCTACAAGGCTTTTACAGGAAGAAAAAAAATCAGTTCCTGACCTAACTCTTCCCTACCCTGATTCCCAAGTCCTAAGAACAACCACCCTCAATTCTCTTAGTTATTAATCACTGTTTATTAATCACTGTTTTTAAACAGGGTCAGAAAGAATTTGTGTTCCTCTCAATAACATGTTTGTACTTTTTCTTGATTTTTCAGTTTTACATATTACCTATTAACTTCCAACTAAGAAAGACAGAATGACTTTTCTGAATACAAATCTGGTCAAATCATTTTCCTGCTTTCAAAACTTCAGCGGTTTCCTATTTCCCTTATGATAAAGTCTAGACTCTAATATTAGTCACAAAGCTGTTCATAATCTAGTCCCTGCTTGGCTCTCCAGTCTCATTTTTGTCACTCTACCAACAAACTCCATGTTCCAGGTGTACTAAAGGTTTTCAGTTCTCCAAACCTATTTTCTCTTTGGCTGTTAGATGTTTTTCTGGAATATTCCTCTTCCCCACTATTTTATGCCTGAATAACTCCTACTTGTCTTCAGGTCTCAAATTATATGTTATTTTCCCCCATGATACTTCCCCTGATACCCCTAAACTTGCTTAAAACAGTGTTAGATCATCTTTTGTGTGCATCCATAACACCCTACATTCAATCTATTATAACAATTGACACAGTGTATTTTCACTATTTGTCTATTTTTCCTAGGAGATGTAGATTCCTTAAGACAGGGCCTGCCTTATTTACTACTGTATCCCCATTGACTAACAGGGCCTGGCGTATAACAGACACACAAAACCGATTTGCTAAATTAATGAAAGAAATGAATTGGCACACAAGAACAACACTTTTAGGCTCTACTAAGCAGAGGGCTTGAATTCTTTTTCCTACATTCACAGTCATAAAAACTACATTAGAAAAATATGTTTTTCATCTCATACTTGTCTTCATCAATTATTTTTAAGATTACTTAGGTAAATAATGAATAGCCATGACACAAACGTGGTTATAAATGACAAAGAACATCCAGACAAAAGAATAAAATTAATATATATGAGCCAAGGTTTTCAAAGAATCATATCTCAGACAAATTCTCAACAGTTGATTAAATTACCTGCCTTTTCAATGTTGGCCACCAAGGGGAAGGGTACTAAGTAAGTGCCTAGTTTGTGCTAGGCAATGGCAGGTACTCTGCAATTGACCCTTAAGTCTTATCAGATGGGATTTAAAGAGCTGAGAGTGTAACTTCAAGCCCAGCATTGATACATTACAGCTGACTGTATTAAATGAACATGCAATGTATCAGTGAATGTATCCAGTAAAAAAGAAATTTCCAAGGCTAACTACTCTACTTTTAAAGAGCCCTATTTATTAAAGATTCTTCCTTTAATGAAGGTACAATATCTCCCTGTAGTTTTCACCACTAGTTTTAATTTTACCTCCTTGGGGCCATAGGAAACTTGTCTAATCCCTCTTCGATGTGACAGCCCTCCAAACATTTGAAGACGGTATTCAGGTTCCTCCAGGTTTTTCCAGGCTAAACATCTCCAGTTCCTTAAACAACTCCAAACATGGCATCATTTTGAGTCCCCCATAACACTCTAATCACTATCTTCTGGATGTACTTCAATTATCTTCAGGCATTCATAAATTTATTAAAATATCTATTTCAAGGCAGGCACTGGCACTGTGTGGGGATCAAGATAGCAACAATCTCATGAGGTACTGTGAGGATTAAATTATTTAAAATAAAATATATAAAATACCTAGGAGGATGCCTGCGACATGTTATTGGGGGGGATAAATAATCAAATAATCCATTATTAAGTACTATATACAGAAGTACCAGAAACTAAGGGAACCTGAAATACAGAAGAGAAAGTGATTATCTCTATCAGTGGAGGTCATGGAAAGCTTCACAAATGAGGTTCATCCAAGTTGAAATCTGAAGACTTAGGAGTTAAATTAATCAAAGAAGGAAAAGCATTCTATGCTAGGAAAAAGAAAAGCATGAAAAAGAATGGCAGGTAAGAGATACATAGTATGTACCTAAGACTTCCACTTCTGGCCTTGGTTAAGTAACAGGGACCAGATT